CATAGCCAGTAACATTAGACCTAAACAATGCTCAAATCTGAATTAAATGAGAAAAAACCAGTTAATTACTATTCTTTTCTTGACTTAATCTATTATAGCTAATAGAAAAAATCTATAATCTTAATCTTGATTTAAGTTTTTGATACATGAGTTTATATGGTGTCCTACAAAACTGATGAGATGTAACTATCTTATTTGAGCAAGATTAGGTAAATCAGTTACAGTTCATAATCAGAAAACAACATGGGTTTAAAATTATCCAAAGAGATAACAGCGAGTTAGATTAAAATTAGTTATGATGATTGTTATAACTTGCACAATTAAAAAAAAAATTACAATATACCCACCAAAAAATCATGAAAAGTTCAATCTGGTTTTGAGCCTTTTAAAGCACTATAACATCATATAACAGCTCCCACTCCTCTCTTATGCTAAAAAATAGTCTGTTGGGGTGGGCATCAAGGCACAGAAATTCACACAAGTCCATCAGTCACACTTATATTCATCTCTAATTCCTTAAAAAGGGACAAACTAATTACCTGTGCTGTGTTCAGTACATGGAACCAAGACTGAAATTCGTAGTAAGAATCCATAGCAAGCGTTTAAAAGGGTAAAATGTCACAGTTTGGAGTCACTGCTTGTCTTAGTTTGGAGTCACTGCTTGTCTTCATATTTCTGTTGGATCTGGAATCACTGCAAAATAATGTCTCCCAAGATAAGAAGAAGTTATGCTTTGTAAATGCTTTATTCACAGGACTCAACACTATTTCAGTCATTTTCTGTCGTGTCTGAGGAGTTAATGTAAACAACACTGAATTTGCAATTGTTTGTTAACCTGGTGTTGGAGTAAAAGGTGTTGTGAAAAAAGAGACAAGCTTTGTTTCTGTTAGGAAGCTGTTGTAGTGTAATCCTGGGAGTTTTAATTCCCTGAACTAAGTTATGCATTGCCCCTCTGACTCAGAGCACTGCCTGTAATGTATCACTGATTTACACCAACTTTGTCAGTTGGAAATTAGTCCTTATCTTTATGTCTCTTCTGTTCCCAACAGCACTAAAAAGAGACCTTCAAACCAAATGTTCACTAGCAATGACTGTACTTCTTGGTTCAGGGAAGTTCCTGCCAAGTTTTCTTTTTGTTTTAACGAACATATTAACTAATACTAATGAACATATTAATGAACATACACCAAAAAGTCTTTGCAGAAAACCCCAGGAGGGTGGCAAATTTCCACACCTGGTGAACTTTCAGAGCCAATTCATGAGCCTTGTGTCTTACAAATGAAATGCTGACATATTTTAAGCTATAACGAATTAATGACTGACATAGTGACTGAATATATGCAAAACAATTTGGTGTCACAGAATTTTGTACTGCAGAATCTCTTACGTTTGCAGTGTCCCCTACCACCGAGGGTTTAGCAGTCCAATTCCTTGCAGGCAGCACTAGATGGAGACAGTGATTCACACAAAGCTTCCTGACAGACACTTTTCTCTCTGCTGAACCAGTTACTGCCAGCAAACAAGATTTCATTTGGTGTATTCAGTTTATTACAGATTGAAGGGTTACAATTGTTTGTGTCTTGGTTTGGTTGGTTGGTTTTTTGTGGTTTTTTTTTTTAGGATCCATCTCAAAGAAAGTGAAATAAAATTACTAATGCTTTGAGTAGCTGGCAAGTCTCCCTGAATCTCTTTCACACACATGTATGTGTAGGTAAATCACAAAACTCAAGGCAAACTATAAACAAAGTATCAGAATTTTCTTTCCAGGCTTATTATATGTGAAATTCATTTAGCAACAGTAACTCTGATCATATTTTTATTTGAGACACTAGAAAAATCCTTACCTATGCTTTGAAATTGAGAGATCTTTTGAAATTCCTGGAAATAAAAAAAAAAAATAATCCATATGTGTTAGTTTACTTTCCCCACATGAAGTCAATATATTGATCCTACCATGGTGTATTTAATTGTCCTTACCACAGAACTGTTTCCCAATTAGCAGCTAGAGAGACTTCTCACACACCAGTCAGGAACAGTGATGGATATCACACATCCCATCCCTTTTTTTGACTTCTTATGAACTAGTTTTGGACAGTTAAGGGATGCTAAAAGAGAAAAAGCCAACAGGGAGAGATAATTTCGTGCAACTAAACTACTGCCAAGAGAGCACTGTGAACATACTTCAGGTTAAATTTTAAGAAGTGGCTGGTGATTTAAGAAGGTATATGGCATCAGTGTGAGACAACATAATTAGCAGAAAGTAACTACACAGTACAGTCTGCAAATCTGACATGTTTGAATTATAAAAAAGTTAAAAATCAGGTATGCAGTAAGCCCTTTTATTTAGGCTGCTGTTTAAGACAAAAGCAGCTGGAGTCCTTGTGCTGGTGCACTGTCTCCCAATTGTCTGAAAGATTGGACCTCCTGGCAGAGACGTTGTTTTGACTTAAAAATCATTTAAACACACTGAACTGGAGTGTGAGCTGATTTCCCAATGGCAATCAAACTTCCAATTCTGATTTTGGCTGAACCCAGCTATGCAGCCTACGCAGCCACGTTGGAACGACACATCCAAAACGATCCTCCTGCAAACATCTGCTCCAGTTAGCAGAGCCCTGGTAGGCACTTGGCAAATTTCACCAGCAGGCTGCTGATGTGGATCACAAAATGGCTGGAATTAATACAGCCTGGGGGGATTTATTTAGGTTTGTTTGCACTATTGCCTCTTTCAAAGGCAAAGAGAAGAGAAGTATTAGTACTGCAGAATACTGCGCTTCTACAGAGCTGGGAGAAGCTGTTCCTGACTTTTATTTAACAGGACAAAGCTGAATTGCCTTCACCTGTCTGAGGCCAAGGGCCCAGTTATCTCTAAGAAGTAAATGTACTAAAATTTGCTGATTTATATGACACAGAGCACATCCAAACTAAGAAAACACGGGTTTTTTTTCAAGCAACCAAGACAGCAGTTCTCAGAGAACGTGAGGCTGTGGTGTGCAGTTGTCCTACAGCTCTCTTGCCTAGTGTGAGGGGTACAAGAGTTGGGCAGGCTGCCTGAGGGTCAGAAAGTCAGTGACTGAGGTTAATCAATACACCTTGACCTCCCTCGTAATCATTCACCAAAATTAATATAGTTTACAGCTGGAAGTAAGGAACTTCTGCAATTTATATAGTCTTCCATCTGAATCCATCTAAGTGCTCATGGTTTAATCAGGATTATGAGTTTTTCTGGCTATTTTGGAAATGAGCAGGCTCCCACAAGTTGGAATGTATTTTTGTTGCTATTGTTGTCTTTAAGACATATTATCACTACTGACATTTAACCTGAAAAACAAATACCCAAGCATACCTGATTATATGAAATGGACCAAAGAGGACTTCTGAAGGTTCCAGTCAGGGCATGGAGAATTTGTGTTGATAGTTCATGATTCATACCATAAAAAATCCCACATGTCCTTCCAGAGTATTTTACCACCAGTTTATTTCAGTCTTCAGCTCCTGGTAAATGAACAAGAACAACAACAAAATAAAATCTAGCTTTTTTCTTACTTCCATTTTTTTTCACTGGCTCATTCATGTATTTCACATTTCGTATAATTAGACTTATCACTAAAAAAACTTGAATACAGTGTTACAGACTGAGGAGTTTGGGAGAAATAGATGGATACCTCTATTCAGCTACCCACCTACACTGAGTAGTTTCTTATATTCAAGCAACTACAGTGTATTTATAATTCTCAGTGATTTTGCATTGCCAGAGTCCCTGTTGGAACTTGTAGCTTGTGTTTATCATTTTTTCAGCTTGTTCCTGAATTATGGCTGTGCCTGATGCACTCACAGTACCTTCCTTTACTTCCTTTTCCAAGAGGAGAAGGTAATTACATGCATTCTGTCTTCCTGGGAGTAATAAACTTCTCCAGATCACACCAGGTATGTATATTCACACCAACCAGAGGAAAAGGGGGATGAAAGACCATCAAAGGGTCCATGATGGGATATGAAGAGTATCAGGGTAACCACACGCTTTGGACCTGGTTTTGCTGACAGCAGAATGAATTTCAGAGCATCATTTTCCCCCTTGGTAATTTGAGCTTAATCACTCTGAATAAGACAAAGATACGACTCTTTGGAAGGATGAACTCCTAAAGCCAGCTATGAAATAACTACTTAAAAAAAAACCCAACAGCTTCTCTTCCGTATTTTCTAAGAAGGCTTCACTTCCATAGGGACAGTAACAAGAATTTCTTCATGTGTGGAAAGTCAGACATGAAATAAAGGTTTAAAAAATAGAAGCATTTAAGGTACAAAAAGGAACCCTTCCATCTTCTATAGAGAAACAATTATATTCTTTCTAGCACTGCAATGAATCAAGTTGCAGTGCAGTGTATAATTTGAATATGACACTGTATATAATAATTGCTTTGGTGAACCCAAAGCAGCCCAAAGAACATGTCTTTAATAAACACATATGAAAGATTTAGCAGATTAGGACTTTGTTATTGCCAAGGACAAATGCTTTTTTGCAGTTTTTCAGCTTGCACACGGCAATACCCATTTTTTTTTCTTTTTTTATCTTTAGTTTCTTTTGTTTAATACAGACTAAAGTTTTCAGACTTTGGTATCTAAGGTTGCTGATATTCTGCAAGAGAAGAATAATCAAATTTTCAAAGACTCTTTAGTGAGGAGCCTAGAAGTCAGCAGGAACTGCAGGTGCTCTGGAAAATCCAGTCTCTTTTAGTATTAGGCTTGAAAAGACAGACTTTATCTTAAGAAATACAAGCTAAATTAAACCCATTTGTTGAAATTACATATGTTATGTTTAATATTGATAAAAATAGTCATTTCATGAAACCTGATGAAAAATAATACTTCCCTTCCAGTATCAGGACATAGTATTTTCCACATATCTGGTATTATGCTGTTTATAAACATCTCTGCAAGTGAAGTATTCTGGACTCTACATGCAGGGATTGAGGAAGAAGGAAAGCAAAAAGAATCCTTTACCCCTTACCCAAAAAGAAAATCTTTAGGGAAGGTCATTTGAGATTTTCCTTTTACTTCTTCCATAGCTAGCAGTCAACCTCCACCGGAGATGTCAAGAGAGCTGAGGGAGAGACATTGCATTAGGTGACATGTGGCATCCAGAACAGTGCCCTGAATGGTACTGAAGTTCTTGAAGTACCTACTGGGGATCCAGGGCATTCCTAGTTTCCTGTGGAAGGCAGAAAAGCCTTGTGCATGGCTTCTGTTTTCCTTTTGTAAGGTTGGGGTGGGGAGGCAACTCAGAGTGCCGATGATGAACCCGCTTCTGCAAGGCTGAAAGGAGGTATCAGTGAGAGCTGACAGAGTTTGGAAAACAATCCCAGCACACAGAATCCCAAGTGGGTAGTTGGGGTACAGATCTCTGTGTAGCACATGTGCTATCCATGCATCACCTGATGTGCTAATCCCATGCTTCTCACACAGCCACCTTCCTGCACCCAGTCACAGTTTCCTCCACACACACCTATTCCTTCATGCTGCATACAGTGTCAAATGTTTCTTCTTGCAGATCATTTCCAGTTGATATATGTAACCACTTGTTGATATCAATCGATATTTAAGAGTTAAATAAGAGCAGGCAATTTAATATGGGACAGAAACATGACTGGGCAATGTGTAGGAATGAGATCAAAGAGAAGGATCTGCGTGTCCGATAGACCAGCAGGGAGAAAAACAGTCTGAAGGCTCAAGTCAAATGTATGAGAAATAAGAATACAGCAACAGTGCCAACACTGGCAGCTATAAACATACACAAAGTAAAGGATTGTAATCTCAAAAATAACCCAGTCCTCCAGCAAGGGGTTAAATTCCCATCCATACAGTCCCTACAACCCCCTCAAACAACAGCAGAAGGCACCAAGTCCACATTCTCACCTGTGCTCTCAGACACTCTACAAGCTTCCTTCATCAACCATATATTCTCTTCCCACACAATATCCTTTACAGTAGATAAATACAATCAGTCACACACAAAACTACAACTACACCTTACATTTTCAGAAAATAAATAATATATATCCTTACCGAAATTCTTGCTGAGCTGAAACCACCGACAAAACTCTCCTTGATTTCAGTGCAGCCAGGATTTGAACCATGGGCTTCCACAACAAAAGTCAAAAAACATAAAATATATTATTCCACCTATAAGTAGAACCATTGCTCTGCATTTCATACAGTTGCACAAAGTCAGATGTGGTTCTGTGAAATGATGATAAGGTGGTTCTTTTAACGTGCATTATATAAATTTTTTTAATATACTGGCACAGTGGGTGGTATGAAAGGTAAGGCATGTGAATTAAAGTCAGGCCACATCCCTGATAAATCTCATACACAACTACTCCCTCTAAATAAAACAAATTTAAGGAGAAAAAAAAATTTAACCTACACCATTTATTATACTAATATTCAAAGCTCTCCAATTCAGGCATAACAAACGGCTTTTAAAATATATCCTCTCAGTTCAAGCTCAGACTGCAGTGCTGAAACCCTGCATTCAAGCCCCTGAAGATCTAATGCACTGATCTAATGCACTGTGGCCGACCTATTACGGATGATTATAAATTAGAGAAGTCCTTCTGTTGCTATAATTTTCTAGACATTGTTTCTTAAAGCCAGAAGGTGCAAAAAAAAAAAAAAAAAAAGGGTGAAAAAAGTGTAAACTATTTCTTCTCTCTATGCCGGATTTAGCTCAGTTAGAAATAAAAATTTGGAGAAAACTTGCAGAAGCAAGTTTAGTTCTCTGATATAAAAGTTACCAAGAGGGGGTGGATTCTGTGCTGTGCATTCTTTGGCAATTTTACTACAGTACCTCTGCTCCAGTTACATATATAAGAAATGAGGAAAATTATTTCCTGCCTTTAAAAGGATGACAAATTCATTAAGGATTGTGAGATAAAATGATATGACAGCAATGTCATGCAAACACGCAGTTTAGAAAAATAAAAAAAAAATACTTTGCAGATAAAACTACAAAGTTTTTATTTTGATTTGTTATTTTATTTTCGCTGGGTAGATTCTTTGCAGGTTCAGAGTGCGCTCGAAAATTAATAGCAATGTTCTTTTGTTTCATTTTATGCAGTTCTAGAGACCAAAGGAGCCTCAGGAATTAATTGTAGCCTTCTAATATACACAATGATGTAATGATGTATTTAACATTACTGAGTTTTTGTTTGATTCCAAATAAATTGCAGATTTTTTTTCCGCTGCGACAGTAAAACAATTACCGTTCTGAAAAAAAAGGATAATTAATCCACAATTTTTTCACATTAGATCATATATCTCTAAAGAGTGCCCACAGATTTGATGGTCTTCAGCTGCTGTGTATTTATTTTTCTTTTTTTTCTTTCTTTTTTTTTTTCCCCTGGTGATGTACCGCCCCATCAGTGCTGACATTTAAATGAGTGAGTATTCAACACAAATGTGATCGTTTGTGTAGCATCCAACGCGGCACCATACTGAGATGATTGCTTCTGGGAGCCATCCATGGGTTCCCGAATAGGGGGGAAAAGCCAGGCAAAATTTTATCAATTTACATTTTTCTGTGATTAATTTTTATGCAAATCAGGGCCCGACCGTGCTCCCATCTCACCTGAATCATGCGGATCATCAAAGACAAATTGAGCATCACTTATTTAAAAAATAGGCTTTAAACTACTCTACAGCTGTGTTGGAAAATGCTAAGAGCAGGGCATGAACTTTTCTAATGTAACAGGAATAGATAAGAAAATGCTTCTTTTTGCATTTTTTGTCCACACTGTGATAAACATGAATCTTAACAAAATCCTAAAAATTGTCTTTGTTTTATATTCCTTATGCCCTTGTAAACATTTGACTATGGGAATGCTGCATAAGGGGATTTTTCCAATTTCAGAATACAAACAAATGGACTTGGAAAAATACATTGCTTAGGGATGAAAAAAATATTGTATTGGTTAGCATAGTTAAAGTACGGAGTTTATTTACATTTTTAGATAGAATTCAAGAAATCACTCACTGGTATAATACAGCGATAAAGGCCTTACATAAACAATCTTTTAATGTTAGAGTAAAAGCTGCTAAGACATACAAATAGGTAAGTTCTGTTTACAAATGAACACGTTCTGCCTTATTGTATATATCTACTTATATGTAGCCATGTTCATGTGTCTGCCTAGCACAAAACTGCACATTTAGACTTTGTTAAACAACAAGCTTTGAAAAGAAATTTTGGATGAGCAGTTTGCATTGATGGACATCTTATAATTATTGATAGTAATACTGAAGAGCATACATGTGAAGAACTAATCTTATTTACTTTAAAAAATATGTCTTTTGCTTTAGGAAAGCAACAAAACTGTTTCTTTATGGTATTAAGGAATAAGGCAATATTATCAGCCACAACTGTAATTTCTACAGCTGTAAGATAAATAGCACTCAGAAATATGAACACTTGCCCCTCTAATTTGCACTTGAAATTTGTATCCAGGTGTAAGAACGTGTCCTCATGAAAAGCATTCTATTATAAAGAAGCTGAATTTTGAAAAGGCAGTTTTCTCTTCAGAACTGTGTTCTGAAAATTGTAATACATAGTGTCAGTTCAGAGACTCATTTTACAAGTCTTTCCACAAATCCATATCCCTAAAGCTAATCTCAGAGGAGTAAATGTGATGTGTAACAGAGAAAAGACAGTCTTTATCAGTCAGGGTTTGAAAAAAGAGAGGCACATGTACCAGATGATCTTATGGCATTAGAGCAAAGATGTCCCCTTATGTATTAGAAATATGAAAGCTGTAATTTTACAGGTTTGATTAACCCACAATTTAATGAGTTACTTTTCATTAAGCTGTACAGCTGAATGTATATTAGTGCATATCCAAACAGAATATATGTTTGCACACATGATCGATTTTATGCTCAGACCTTCTCCTTAAATCCTGTGAGTCTCATATCACTTATTAAACCACTGACATAAGAGGTGAGACCACAACTGTAGCAAAGCCAATAAGAATCACCTTCTGCAGTCAATAAATCCACACCCCTGTCCAGTCTCCAGCCAAGAGCTGCTGCTCCTAAATACCTCAGACAAAATGTGACTCATTGGTTTTGATGTTTATATACCCATTCCCCATCTCCCCCGGTTATGAGTTTTGAGAAAGACTGCACTGTGACAAGTTTGATCATATCTAACAGCTTAACTACAGAAATGATACAATTCAGCTATTCAGGAAAAAAAATCATGAAACCTAAGGCATGAGGAGTGAAAACATTTAATTATTAAAAAAAAAAAAGTGTTTCCCTGAAAAAACAATGCTGAAGAATATCAACTTATAATGACAGCAAAATCTGTTTAAAATATCACAAGATAATTGTCATATTTAAAACCCTTGTAAGTGGAACCAAGGTTAAAATAGTTACCATTCACTGTCTTTCAACAAACTTTAGCATCTTCTGTAGAAAATATCCTGTATGATTTCATTAACACAGAAATACAGTAAGAGATGTATCAAATCCTGCCTCTCTATATGACAGGTTTCTATATATTACTCTGTCACAGGTATCCATATAATTTCTTATAAGCTGTAGGCTTGATGTCCTACTGGAATAGTTCCGCTATTATAATAGGTAATATATAAAAAACTACAATATAACAGCTTACAATGAGGATTCTGAATCAACTGAAAATGTTCCAAGTGATATCCTGGTGTTTAATTCCAAATACTTACCACAGTAATATTATGGGATATGAGAGGCATAAAGAGATTATTTTACTAGCCGTGGGTACACATTTGAGGATGGAAAATACCAGTTGTTTAATAGCACGTGATCATGCAACACACATTTTAGGGCAAGGAGTGAAAGGATTAGAAAACACAAGGTATGTGTACCTCCCCTCCTCAAGGACTGTCAGCTGGTACTTCCCTTGCTACGTGAACGTAATCCATATTAAAACAAAACAAACAAACAGCATTTATATAACATAAATTCCTGTATTCCCAGTTACAACAAAATGTGGAGAAGAGAAAGAAGTAAAAATCTTGTCGACCTAATAATTTTAGCCTAAAAGAGAAGCCCGTATGCATCCTTCAATTTAAACCAAGCAAGAAACATATGGAAAAGGGATATTACATGTATATGTGTGTGTATATATACACACATATATATATATATACACACACACACAAATTTCCTATACATGTGGATTACGAGGTCCCTTTTATGGCAATCTAGGAAGTGGTCAAGGAACTGCTAAAAGGCACACTGTTGGCACCCCCAGGGCTGCCAGCTGAGGTGATTTCAGAGTGTTCAGCTACAGGTTAAAGCAAATTTCCACTCTCAGGTCCCGTGCCCCTCCCAGAGCCCACTGGCATCCTGTGGCTCAGAGCAATGCTCTCAGCCGCACAACGGGCACGAGGGGATCACTGGGCTCCAAGCACACAGAGCTTTGAAGAACACAGAGATATTAGCAGAAGTAACTAAAAAGAGCAAAATGAAAGGAAATTATCAAAGCCATACTGATGCTGTGACACATCTCTCCTCCCAAAAGTCAGGTGGCAAGTTGCTCCGTTTTTGCTGCTGAGGTACCAACCTTTGGCATTAGGCCCATGTACAGAAACCACAATGCTCAGAGGGAAACACTGCATGGAAGGCAACAACAGACTTTGCTTTCTGGGTATGAGTCTAGTGACCCAGAAGCAGAGAACTGAACTTAAATGTCCTTAAAATATCTTTTACTGTGGTGGATGCTCAGAAAAGTGTCTTTTTCTGAGGTTTTATGTGCAGGAAAAAATAAAAAAAAAGGGTACCACAGAAAGATTTTGAAACTGAGGTACAATATTTGTTGGAGAAAAACAGAAACAATTTGGAAATGGAATGTTATGAATCAGGACCAAAAAAACTATATTTGCATGTAATTCTTACTGAGATAAATATTTGGCAACGTGATTTCTCCTTTCACATATTTTCCTGAACCCCAGTCCTGTTACCTGGAATTTTAACTGTTTATTTTCATGGAGTTACTAATATTTGTCAGATATTGTATATACAGATATTACCATGAGCTCAACCAAGAAAATGACATGAAAATAATGAGGGATGGCTGCTGCTGCTAGCAAAACAAATG